TTTTGGCTAAGACTTTTGAAAATGAACAAAAGCCAATGCTTTGAAAGGTTTGAGAAAAATAAGCATTCTTACTACTTGAGGAGAGTACAAATGGATGTAACTTTTCTGGAAAGTAGCAAAAAATAAATAAAAAATGTTTTAAAGAGTGCTCGCTTTATCAGCATATATACTAAAAATGTTTTAAAATAGGCATTATTTTGGGGCTGGGGATGTGGCTCAAGCGGTAGCGCTCTCACCTGGCATGCGTGCGGCCCAGGTTTGATCCTCAGCACCACATTACAAACAAAGATGTTGTGTTCGCTGAAAACTAAAAAATAAATATTAAAATTCTCTCTCTCTCTCTCTCTTTAAAAAAAAATCCTTATTAAAGAGATAATAAGGAGGTCCTGTATTTTTTTTTAAGAGAGAGAGGAGAGAGAGAGAGAGAGAGAGAGAGAGAGAGAGAATTTTTTTTTAATATTTATTTTTTTTAGTTCTCGGCGGACACAACATCTTTGTTGGTATGTGGTGCTGAGGATCCAACCCAGGTCGCACGCATGCCAAACGAGCGCGCTACCGCTTAAGCCACATCCCCAGCCCGGAAGTCCTGTATTTAAAAAAATAAAATAAAATAGGCATTATCTTTAACCTGGAAATCCTACTTCTAGGAGTCTAACTCAAAGAGATGGTCACACAAATTTATGCAAAAATATCCACAAAAAGATTTAATGGAGGAGCTGAGGATGTGGCTCAAGTGGTAGCGTGCTTGCCTAGCATGCGTGAGGCACTGGGTTCAACTCTCAGCACCACATAAAAATAAAATAAAGATGTTGTGTCCACCTAAAACTAAAAAATAAATATTTTTTTTAAAAAAAGATTTAATGGAGATGGGGTTGGGTTGTAGCTCAGTGGTAGAACACTTGCCTAGCATGTGTGAGGCCCTGGGTTCAATCCTCAGCACCACATAAAGATAAATAAATAAAATAAAGGTATTGTATCCAGCTAAAACTACAAAAAAAAAATTTTTTTAATTTAGTGGAGAATGTTTAGGTGAGGGGGAAAAAGTGAACACAACTTCAATGTCAATCATTCTGAATGCAGATTTTTATAAGAAAATTAAAATGCATATAAATAAGTATATGATACAGCCATTTCAAATTATAAAACACATTATCTCTGTGTATTGACATGGAATGATATTCCTGATACATTGCTGATTGAAAAATAGAAATATAATCCCAAAAAACACAAAACATGTATTGGGATAATATAATTATACAGGGAGATGTTTAGAAGTTTTTCATCCAAATGTTTGGGCTATTGAGTAGCAAGATTAGGGATTTTCCTCCTTTTCTTTTTTATATTCTTCTTTATTATCTAAATTTTTTTTCAATACAAATCATTTCTGCAATACTTTTTTTTTTTAATTAAGATATTGGCACTGGGCATGGTGGAACATGCCTGTAATACCAGTTACTTGGACAGGAAGATCAAATGTTCAAGTCCAGTCTCAACAATTAACAGGACCCTGTCTCAAAAAACTTTTTTTAATTAAATAAACTAATAAGATTTTATAAAACAGTGAGGTCCTTAATGCTTAAAAGTATTTTGTTTTCTTTATCCAACGTAAGACTGAACACAGCATTGTTGGAATTGAGTATTAGTTCAAAGTTGTTGTCAGCTCTAGGTCTTCATTAGTAAACACACTTCTCACAAAGTATCAGGAAATACCCTCTGATATCATTTCTTGGATTAAGAGGTAACAAGGAAAGAATGTTCTTTACAGAAACATACTTTGATGGATTATACCAACTTCATTTTAAATACAATGCAATTTTTTTCCACGAGAATAAAACCCAGTTCAGAAAGTGTGAAAGTTTTTAAAACATCCAATGTATTATATTGAGAATGTCTAAATGGGGACATTAATCATTCAATACACATTTACGGCCTCTCCCATGTGCCAAGCACTGAGACTACAGAGAAGATTAAGTCATTAAGGAATTCACAATCTAGTAGAAGAAAAAGAGATAATTAGAATGTGAATGTCCTAAATGTAAGAGTAGATATAAACACAAGTAATTTGGAGAGCACAGAAGAGGAACAAATACTATTACGCTTTGAAAATGATCATATTTCTTGAAAAGTCACCAAATGTAGTACTTGCAAAAAATAGGGAAACAGGGCATTTGCCCATGTTTGTTCACAAAATGCCCAGAACTGGCATGAAACTTACTGATTAAAAAAAAGTTAGGATCAGAATCAAGACTGTCATATTTTCAAAATGTTAACGTTTCTGTTTTGTTAAACATAAAACACTTTCCAATTTATAGTAATAAAATTTGATATCACAGAACAAAAGTGAACTTTCAGGTTCATAAATACTCTTAGCAATTTCAAACTAACTTCCAGTTTTACCCAGCCCTATTAAACTTACAGATATGAGTTTTAAATACTTCTTAAAACTTTGCACAAGTTGAAATATGAACAAATTCTCAAAGTGCCCCATCTTTTGTAAACACATCAAAATGCAAATGCCAAAAATCTTCATAGATGTAAAATACAAAGTAAATGCTAAATTCACCCAGGAAAATGCTAATAGTCTACTACTTCCTCGTTAGATAATTTCTCTTCCTGGTACAGAAGCAGAACTGTTATCAAATATTCCATGTCCCCAAATCCTCAGTCCCTGGAAATCGCCTAGAGAACCCCCAAAGAACCTGGTTCCGGGAGAAAAGCAGGGAGGTAAACTTAGCCAAACCTTTGTGCAGAGGTCTTACCGGGAGCAGCAGCCCTGCCGGGTCAGACTGCACGAGTGCAGGTCAGTGGCGGAGTACTATAACCCCGACTTCCGACGGGGAATGGGGGCGCGGGGCGCAGGTTCCCCGCGACCTAAGCCAGGGCAGGTCCTCACCAGAGCCACCGCAACCCGGAGTGAGGAAGATCCGTGGGCCCTCGGAAGGGGTGTCACCCAGTGGCCCGACCCCCGCAAGCCCCGCCTGCGGGCGGACCCTGCCCGGAGACAAAAGGGAGGACGGCCACTAGAGCTGTCGCTCTTCCCTCCGGCTGGAGTCGCACCTTTCGGGACCCTGGCGCCGTTCGCCGCGGCTACTTCAAATCCTTGCGGGTCGCCTGCAGCCCTGCCCCTCGCTCTGGCTCCTTTATCCCTTCTGTCCCGGGCTAAAGCATTAGGGTCCACTAGTTACCGCCTCCTCTCCGCCTCAGGACCGCTGAGCAGTCAAACCCCGCCCGGCCCGACCAGTCCAAAGAGTGTGCCCGCGCGTGCAAATGCACACACCC